CTCGTACTCACTAAAGGAGAGCTTGAACCTATGTACTTGTGTAAACCCTTCACAATTAATGAGAACTCTTCTATTCCGTGGACGTAGCCAATCTGGGTGAACCACGTACATCTTGTGTTTGCTTTCCTATCTCTATCCATTTATATACTTATCCATACTACTAATGACCGGAGCAATCTAGCGAAGATCACAAAAAGCGACCGTTTTTCGTTACCTAGGATCTATCTTGCAAGAGAACGGAGAATTAGATGGAGATCTCAACCATAGAATACGAGCTGGATGGAAAGAGTGCATCCGGCGTGTTGTGTGTGACCGTCGTAGGCCACTGAAGCTCAAGGGAAAATTTTATAGGACGGCAATAAGGCCAGCGATGTTGTATGGCAGAGAATGTTGGGTGGTGGTGAAGCATCAACACGTACACAAAATGGGTGTAGTGGAGATGAGGATGCTTCGTGGGATGTGTGGGCACACGAGAAAGGATAAGATTGGGAATGAGGATATCCGAGGTAAAGCAGGAGTAGCCGAAATTGTAGGAAAGATGAGAGAAAATCGGCTCTGGTGATTTGGACATGTGCAAAGAAGGCCGACTGACGCTCCGGTTCGAAGATGTGACTACGGGACTGAGGTTCAGGGCCGAAGGGGTAGAGGAAGACCTAGGAAAACTTTGGAAGAGACTCTAAGAAAAGACTTAGAGTACTTGGATCTAACGGAGGACATGACACAAAACCGAGCGCAATGGCGTTCTAGGATTCATATAGCCGACCCCACTTAGTGGGAAAAGGCTTTGTTGTTGTTGTTGTTGTTGTATCAAATTTTGGGTTTGGATCTGGTTTTGAGAATGGAAAGAGTGCATAATTTTTTTTCCTTTTTTGTTTTCGAATTTTGAGGGATTTAGGTTTGAAAATGGTATATGAGGGGCGAAGCAGAGCAAAGTTGGTAAATGGGATCTGGGTTTCGAATTTTGCAAGGAACAAGTAGGAAGAGGAGATGGGCGAAGCAAGGAGTTGGTCTTAGCAATCCGGCCGATTTTGAGGGGTCTCGTGAAGACCCTTTAGCGAAGCCGTTAGTCTTGGTTAGTCGGGGCGAGTCTCATTAAAGCTTGTCCCGGCGTGGAACAAACACAGCACTGCAGTCCCACTTAATCCAATCCAGTCTAGTGAATGCTAGTGAGCTCAAACAAACGCATCCTTTAAGTGTAATGAATCTATTGTTTTGATGGGATACGCATTCTACGAAACTAGTTTCAACGATCCAACCATCAAACATGTTTGTATATACTTCGAGATCGCATAAGCCAAAAATTGCAAAAAACAAACATTCAGAGATCAAGTAACGGGATAAAACTTTTCGACAGTTATAAACGAAAAATCACGATTCAATGATTGTTTTAACTTCGATTTTGATGATTTTTTACAGCTACACTCCTTGACCCTATATGAATTCGATCTTCAATTTAAAATATTTACTCTAGTGGATACCACAAAATCTTATGTTATACTTAATGAAAGTATAAATAAATTCTAAGTGTTACTGAATCTATCGTTTTGATGGGATACGCATTTTATGAAACTAATTTCAACGATCCAACTGTCAAACTTGTTTGTATATGCTTCAAAATCGCATACGCCAAAAATGGGAAAAAAAAACATTCAGAGATCAAATAATGGGACAAAATTTTTCAATGGTTATCAACGAAAAATCACGATTTAACGGTTGTTTTAACTCCGATTTTGATAATTTTTTACAACTACACTCTTTGACCCTATATGAATACAATGAATGAACTCGATCTTCAATTTAAAATATTTACACTAGTGGATACTACAAAATCTTATGTTATATTTAATGAAAGTATGAATAAACTTGTAAGTGTTAGTGAATCTATTGTTTTGATGGGATACGCATTCTACGAAACTAGTTTTAACGATCCAACCATCAAACATGTTTGTATATACTTCGAGATCGTATATGCCAAAAATTGCAAAAAACAAACATTTAGAGATCAAGTAACGGGACAAAACTTTCCGATGGTTATAAAACAAAAAATCACGATTTAAGGGTTATTTTAACTCTGATTTTGATTATTTTTTACAATTACACTCCTTGATCCTATATGAATACAATGAACTAATTTGATCGTCAATTTAAAATATTTATACTTTCATTAACGGTTCTTAGCATTTCACTAACACTTAGAGTTTATTTATACTTTCATTAAGTATAACATAAGATTTTGTGGTATCCACTAGGTAAATATTTTAAATTGAAGATCGAATTCATTCATTGTATTCATATAGGGTCAGGGAGTGTAGCTGTAAAAAATCATTAAAATCAGAGTTAAAATAACCGTTAAATCGTGATTTTTCGTTGATAACCGTCGAAAAGCTTTGTCCCATTACTTGATCTCTGAATGTTTTTTTTCCCATTTTTGGCGTATGCGATCTTGAAGCATATACAAACATGTTTGACGGTTGGAATGTTGAAATTAGTTTCGTAGGATGTGTATCCCATCAAAACGATAGATTCATTAACACTTAGAGTTTATTTATACTTTCATTAATTAGAAATTAATTATTTTATGTATTAATAAGACTATGGTTCAATTCGTATGTGATGATATTTTATCATAAAATTATATTTTTGTTTTTTATTACTTATTTTATTTATTAAAATTTTAAAATATTATATGAGATAACATAAAGTATTTTATTCATTATCGTTGCCTACCCAGTTCGCTAGTTATGCCAATGCCGACGACGACGACGACATAACGGATGATGACATGGAACATCCATAACCTTTGTTTTATGTTTTTAATAAGTATTAATTAGACAATATTTTTGTTTTTTATTATGTATTTTATTAATTAAAATCTTAAAATGTTATATGAGATACCAAAAAAAAAAAAAAAACTCGTTATTTTTTTTGTCTGGGTTAATTTTTTTTTTTTTGAAAAACTATTTTGTTGTCGCTTTTAGGCGACAACATTAGTCAGATAATTTGAAGTGCACTAGGCAGGAACTTTCCCGCTTGTTTTGCACGAGTAAGAAGATGGTTGTTTTTTTTTTAGGTAAAATCAAAAAGTTGTTGTTTGATTTAATGCATCAGTCAAGTGTGTCAGTGGTCATGTCGGTTTAAACCGACACCAATGTTCACTAAAGCGACGCCATTTCAATTAAAAAAAGTTGTCAGAAAGTGGTTGTTTTTTTTTGGTAAAATCAAAAAGGGGTTGTATGATTTAATGTATTAGGAAAGTGTGTCAGTGGTGGTGTCGGTTTAAACCGACACCAAATTTTATTAAAGCAACGCCAAATTTCATTAAAGCGACGCCACTCTTGTTCCAATAAATGTTGTCTGAAAGTGAGTGTATTTAATTGGACTTAATGCATGTCAGTAGTGGGTGGCGGTTTGAACCGACACCAAGCCTCACTTATTGCGACGCCAGTGTATTTAATACGACGTCAGGGATTGAATGTCGGTTTTACTGACGCCAACTCAACATCCATATTTAAACCCCTTTTTCCCCATTTCATCTGTTTGCTTTCATTTTGTCCCAAATTTCAATATTTCCTTCTCCTTCCCAATTTTGACCGTACTTCCATTTCATCTCCCTTTTCACTTCTTCTTGCAGATTGTTTTGCTATGGATCATTATGAGGATGAGCATGCTGACGAAATCCAATTCGAAAAGGAAGAAGTCGAAGGTGATCCATTTTTAATTTATTATGGTCATTAGTTTCAGTTTTTGTTTTGTAGTCGAAGGTGGTCCAAATTGAAAATTAGTTTTTGTTCCTCGGTTTTTAATTTTTTTTTCCTGTATTGGTGTCCTACTGGAATAAAGAAAAAAACAAAGGTAAACTTTTTATTATTTATTTTATTATAGCTTGAAATTTGTTTAGTAAATTCCTTTTTTTCTTCAGGAGATTGCTGCAAAAAATAAGCATAATAGGCGATTGAAGACAAGGAACCACACAACTGGTGCAAAATCTTTTGCAAGAGTTGGGGCAGAACTTGTAAGGATTGTACACTTTCAAAAATCATAGATAATCTTAAATTTAATATATAATTAGTAGAAATTTATTTTTAATTTGATGGTTGCTGAATTTTTTTTTATTGACTTATAATTATAGCGGAAAAAGCATGGAATAAGGCAGATCCTGTTTCGTTTTTCGTCACTGTCATGCTCGAAAGGATAGCGCTTGGATTGATGAAACATCGGAGTGCACTCGGGTAATTGTCTTATTTGTGGTAGTTTTATCATTGTTGTTAAATTTTATTATCTATAGTTGAATTCTTATTTTTTAAATTTTTACAGCAAGACAACTATGGAGGGGAATATTCAAAATATGATTGAGTCTGGGCAAGAAGATAGTGATGAGCTAAGGACTCGAGTTTATGTGGAGACAATGGGTCCTGAGCGTTATAATCAAGTACGAGGGTATAGACATGGGGTGACTCCGGATATGGTTTCGTATGCATCTTCTTCAGCTTCAGTTCTAGTTCTAAGTTTTTGTTAATGGTTGTCTTGACCTATATATGATATATTAGTTGGAATTATTTTTATATAATTTTTTTGTAATTATTATTAATTAAAAATTGAGGAAAATTGCATTTTTTTTATTTTTAAAATATTCAGCATCGCTTATAAGCGACTCAGGACCTTTAAAAACTGACGAAGATTAATTAAATTTTTTATTTTTATTATGGGTAGTGTCGCTTATAAGCGACGTCACCCTTACTATTTTATTTATTTAGCTCAAGTCATGTCGGTTGTAAGCGACATTACTGTTATATTTAATTGTTTATTTGAGACTTAATGTCGGTTTGGAGCAACACTTTTGTTTCCTTCTATGTCGCTTATAAGCCACGTCAGTACCTATGTCGGTTTTAAGCGATGCCGTTGTTCCTTTTTATTTTATATTACTTTGCTTCATGGTGGCGGATTAAGGGGCCTAAGCGACGTCAATTCCCTTTTGTGATGGTAATATTGGTGTCGGTTTCTCAATCCGACATTGCACGATTTAATGTCGAATTTTTACCAATGAAGCGACAGTAATTGGTGTTTCTTGTCGCTTTTACTCCGACAGTAATAGCCCTTTTTGTAGTAGTGTAACAAAGCTCAACCACGTCTTTTAATACTCCATACCAAGGCACACTATCAATCTGATTCTCCCCCTTAACCATAACTCCACAATTTTGTGTTTTTTTATTCTCATCACCCTGCAATGTATGGAACTTAAACCCACTCATATAGTAACAAGGATAATATTTTACTCGCCTTTCCGGACCGAGAGCCAACGAAAGCATTTGCTTATCAACTTTGTTATCATAGTATAGTTGTTTGATCTACATATATAGAAAGAAAAATATTGTAGAAACAGTATATCTAATAATTAACAGTTTTCACATAAATATTATACATACCCTCTCATGAAACCAATTTGAAAATTGAAGCCTATGTGACTCCTCCACATTTCTAACACCAGAATGCATTAGAATATTCTTATGTTCTCTGCGCATATAACAAGGAGTTAGTTAAATTAATATATTAAAATATTGTAATACTAAAAATAAGTAGTAAAAGATCCAATGTTGAAAGTTCATATGGTATGAGAGATTTCTTACTGAACAAAAGGTAAACATTCATCACAATTTTTTAGGACATAAAACTTGGCAGCCTCAAGGAGTTCGATACCCATCTCTTCAAGTACACCTTTCCCAAAAGATTTACCTGGTGTTGAAAAAATAGGTAATCGAGATGTATCAGATAATAATTGACCTCCATCATCATTTCTATCCCTTTGATTAAACTTAGTTTCAACTCAATGCAAATACTGAGAGCAAAATGTTATGCATTCATCTCCCAATTAGCCTTCCGCAATAGATCCTTCTGGATGAGCCTTATTACGAACATAACTTTTTAGTTTATGCAAATACCTAACCAGATAGTAAAAATTGAAATTAGAGAATATAACTTGATATCAAATAAAATGTTATGTAATAATAATATTTGAAAATTGACATTACCTTTCTACAGGATACATCCACCTATATTGTACTGGACCTGCCATTTTTGCCTCCCATGCTAAATGGCAAGTTAGATGAATCATGATGTCAAAGAAGGCAGGAGGGAATATTTGTTTCATCTTGCATAATGTAATAGCAATTTGATTTTCAAGAACATTCAAATCTTCTTCACTCAACACTTTAGCACACAATTCCTTGAAAAAATAAGAAAGCTCAATGAGGGGCTCATAAACGTCTTTAGGCAATAACTCTCGAGCTATAAAAGGAAGTAATCTTTCCAAGAAAATGTGACAATCATGGGTCTTCATACCAGAAATACTACGTTCTCTAGCAACCACACATCGAGATAAATTTCCAGAGTATCCATCTGGAACTTGTAATTCAGATAACCATTTACATAAGGCTCTATTATCATTGTCTGACAATGTATAGTCACCTGGGAGAAAATCAAGCTTACCATTTTCTCTTACCTTTGGATGATATCTTTCCCTTATACCCATCTCGCGAAGATCAAGGCAAGCATTTAAAGAATCCTTTGTCTTACCATCAATGCTCATCATTGTGCCAATCACACTCTCAAATACATTTTTCTCGATGTGCATAACATCTAAGTTGTGACGCACCAAAAGTGTTTTCCAATAAGGTAATTGAAAAAATATAGAATGTTTTTTCCAATTATGCCTCCTTCCAAACCCAGGTATCGTCTGCTTGTTCTGCTTGCCATGAGTTATTTTTCTTAATTCATCCAGTTCTTGTATAACATCATCACTAGATGGTCTACTGGGTGCAACCGTTTTCTCTCTTGTATTGTCGAACTTGCTTTTTTGCTTGCGCCATGAGTGGTTAGACGGTAAAAATCGTCTATGACCCATATAACACATTTTTGACCCATGAGATAAACTGCGATGTGAAGTCTTAGAGGCACAATATGGGCATGCCAATCTTCCTTGAGTGCTCCAACCTGACATGTAAGCATATGCCGGATAATCATTGATAGTCCACATAAGTGCAACTCTCATTTGAAAATTTTGCCTTGTAGATATATCATACGTTTCCACACCATTTTCCCACAGTGTTTGCAACTCATCAATCAATGGCCTCAAATATACATCTATGTCATTACCTGGACTTGTTGGTCCAGGTATAAGTAAGGACATGAAAATATAAGGCTCATTCATACACATCCACGGAAGAAGATTGTACGGGAATAGGAGAACTGGCCAAGTACTATGGCGAAGATTCATCTTCCCAAAAGGGTTAAATCCATCTGTTGCCAAACCAAGTCGTACATTTCGAGGTTCAATACCAAATGACTCATGAATTTGATCAAAAGATTTCCACTGCTCAGAATCTGCCGGATGTCTCAATACACCATCTTTCACACGATCTTTAGAATGCCATCTCATATCTGCAGTTGTCTTTGATGACATATACAATCTCTGAAGCCTTGGCGTGAGTGGAAAATATCTCAGAACCTTTTCACCTTTCTTTTTGTTACCCTTTTCTTGTGTTCTCCATCTCAAAAGCTTACATGTAGGACATTGCGTTGCATTTGCATGCTCCTTATAATAAATAATGCAATCATTCTTGCATGCATCGATCTTTTCATAATGAATACCTAATTCTACAACAATTTTCTTTGCACCATCGTTGCTTGTAGGTAACTTTTCACAGAAAGGAAAGACATCTTTCAACAATTTTAGCAATGCACCAAAAGTTTTGTTGCTCATAGTACCAGTACTCTTGATGTGCAACAAGTTGACAACAAAGGACAAGTTGGAATACGACTTACAACCATCGTACAATGGCTGCTCTGCCTCTTTTAACAATTTTTAAAACTTTTCTGCATCTCTATTTGGGTCATGTGGACAACCTTCTTCTACTAAGCCATGCATATCATCATCTTATACCATATTGATCACATCATTCTCACCACCATCACTATCACTGTTGCTTTCATCAGTCTCGTCATTCTCATCCTCCCCATGCAACCTTAACTTTGTTGTATCTATTACAAGGACATAAAATTTTAGCATCGTCTAGCTGAAGACGGTTGTATGCATAATCAAGAAAAGTTTAAACTCCATTAAAATAATCTTCAGATGACCTCCCAGATTGCATCCAAGATTTATCGATTGACATTTTTCCCTGCGTGGAACAAAGTTCACACATAGTGTCTAATTGGGGGGACAACACACACAAGAACCGAACAGTCTTTATCGAATGCTATAAACGTATTGCGTTTCTCAGTATTATCGTCAAAATCAGTTAGGTATATAAGCACAGTAATCAACAAGCAAAAAACAAATTATCCGAATCAACAAAATTCAATATGCTTAAACCGGAAGAGTTAAAAAAAAAATCAATAAACGCCAATATGCTTAAATGCAAATCAACAAAATCCTCTTAGTTTCGATAATCCAATTCATAACTTGCATGCCAATAAAAAAGAAAAGCAAATAAAGATTCTAAATTCAATCTCACATGGACCTCAATTAGTCATAAACCACATAGAAACAGATTTCAATGGAATAGAAAATACCAAATTCAATCTCAATAATTAAAATTCCACACATGCCCAAATGCTAACTCTTCATCACCCTCCCCCCCCCCCCCACCCAAACATATAGAAAAAGTTGAAAGTAATTCAGATATGTACAACCTAACTCCCATATCCCTGCTTCTTAGTCAATCCTTACTAGAATTCTAGATGCATTAGACATTTTTAATTGATTATGGAGCCTTCTTTGTCTACCCAACTGCAACCGTACGTGGTTTCTTCTCTTCTTTTTAGCAAGACTAAGACAACCCCTTCAATTTGACCCAAATAAAAATATATTTCCGAAACAACCCCCCAACCTATCCCCATAGACCCGCAAACACAAAACTGAAACACCCCCTAACCCATCCCCACAGACTCCCCCCCCCCCCCCAACAGACGCGCAAAATCAAAACTGTAAATCTGAAAAAATAAAGGTTGAAGTCACAATTAATTGGAAAACAGAACAAGCCAATAAATAACATAACAATGGAACGGAAGAAAAAAAAATTCAAGAATGTCCAGAAGATGGAAGAAATACCTAGAGTTCAGACGTTCGACGGAATGGAGGGAAAGTCAAGAATGCCCAAACCATAGAATGGAGGAATTGGAGTTCACAAATCCAAGAGTTGTTTATCCCAACTAAAAGTATACGTAGGTTTATTTTGGGTATAATTAAGTAGTACTAAAGTGGAGGGATCGTATACATTAATTTGGGTATTAAAATATTATATACACTCAACAATAAAACCGTATTTTCGACAAAAAAAAAAACATAAAACCGTATTAAAATAGTATTATCCATTAGTGCAAATATTAAATTGAAGATCGAATTCGTTCGTCGCACTCTTATAGGGCTTAGGCGTGTAGTTGTAAATATCAACTGGATATCAATTGGGGTTAAAATAACCGTTAAATCGTGAATTTTCGTTTATAACCATCGAAAGGTTTCGTCCCGTTACGTAATATCTGAATGTCTGTTTTTTGTAATTTTTACATATGCAATCTTGAAGCATATAGAAACAAGTTTGACGGTTAGATCGTTGAAACTAGTTTTGTAGAATATGTATTCCTTCAAAACGACAGATTCAACGAACACTTGGAGTTTATTTTATACTTTCATTAAGTTGAACATAATAATTTGTGGTATCCACTAGTGCAAATATTTTAAATTGCAGATCAAATTCATTCAACTTACTCTTATAAGGTTGAGGAGTGTAAAAATCATCAAAATCGGAGTTAAGATCATCGTTAAATTGTGAGTTTGTGTTTATAACCGTCAAAAGGCCTCGTCTTGTTACCTAATATTTGAATGTCTGTTTTTTGCAATTTTTTACCTATGCGATCTTGAAGCATATAGAAACAAGTTTAACGGTTGGATCATTGAAACTAGTTTTGTAGAATGTGTATTCCTTCAAAATGATAGAGTTAACAAACACTTGGAGTTTATTTTATACTTTCATTAAGTTGAACATAATAATTTGTGGTATCCACTAGTGGAAATATTTTAAATTGAATATCAAATTCATTCATCATAGTCTTATAGGGCTGAGGAGTGTATTTGTAAAAAATCATCAAAATTGGAGTTAAGATCACCGTTAAATCGTGAGTTTGCGTTTATAACCGTCAAAAGGTCTCGTCTCGTTACTTAATATCTGAATGTCTGTTTTTTGTAATTTTTTACGTATACGATCTTGAAGCATATAGAAACAAGTTTGACGGTCGGATCATTGAAACTAGTTTTGTAGAATGTGTATTCCTTCAAAACGGTAGATTCAACAAACACTTGGAGTTTATTTTATACTTTCATTAAGTAGAACATAATAATTTGTGGTGTCCACTAGTGCAAATATTTTAAATTGAAGATCGAATTCATTCATCATAGTCTTATAGGGTTGAGGAGTGTATTTGCAAAAAATCATCAAAATCGGAGTTAAGATCATCGTAAAATCGTGAGTTTGCGTTTATAACTGTCAAAAGGTCTCGTCTCGTTACCTTATATCTGAATGTCCGTTTTTTGCAATTTTTTACATATGCGATCTTGAAGCATATGGAAACAAGTTTGACGGTCGAATCATTGAAACTAGTTTTGTAGAATGTGTATTCCTTCAAAACGATAGATTCAACAAACACTTGGAGTTTATTTTATACTTTCATTAAGTAGAACATAATAATTTGTGGTATCCACTAGTGCAAATATTTTAAATTGAAGATCAAATTCATTCAACATACTCTTATAAGGTTGAGGAGTGTATCTGTAAAAAATCATCAAAATCGGAGTTAAGATCACCGTTAAATTGTGAGTTTGCGTTTATAACCGTCAAAAGGTCTCGTCTTGTTACCTAATATCTGAATGTCTGTTTTTTTCAATTCTTTTATGTATGCGATCTTGAAGCATATAGAAACAAGTTTGACGATCAGATCATTCAAATTAATTTTCCAGACTACAAATATTAATTTATGATAATGTTCAAGGTTTTGGCTTTTTTCCTTAAATGAATGGTATGGAACAATATTATTTTATATTTAAAAAAAATTGTTTATAGAATTTAGTGTTTTTCCGTTTCCCAGAAATAAATTTGGCTTCCCTCTTCTTTTTCCCACAATTCCCAAACTCTTGTTTTTATGGAATTTAAGCGGTTTGGCTTTTTCTCCAAATTAATTAGGGTTTTGGTGTGTCCCTCCATTTCTCCCACAATTTCCAAAAATGTTTCCTAAAATTTGTTCCGCCCACAGCCAAACAAAAAATGGAGGGAAACTACGCTCTTGATTAGATTAGGGTTGCATCTATGCCATTCTTTATATTAATGCCTCCAACCTTCAAAGGAGGCAACAAAAACTCTCCATAATCAATATTCGAAGTGCACAACTGTGAGCATATAGGTAACCCTAAAGTCATCTTGTTTGTCTAGTTCGTCCAGTTTAGGTTTTGTGACAATGAGTTCCCTTGTGCCAATTTTAAGTTTAGGGTTTATGTATATATTAAATTTCTATTTTATTCATTTTTCATGGCTGCTGGGATTTTCTAACAATTAGGGTTTATGTATATATTTTGCCTTCTGCCATTGAAACCCTAATTCTAGTCGATTTTATTTAGCTTTCATGGTTTCATTTTTTCATTTTTCTATCTTTCGGTACTATTGACATCTAATTTTCTTGTATTTGTATGATTGATAGATATGGCAAAAAAGGGAAGGAGCCAAAAAAATTCATCAAGCACACGTCGTCTGTCATCTACTCTCTTTAAACCAACATGATACCACCACTAAACTACATGACAATGAAATGCAAGAGACCCAACATGCAAATATACAAGGTAATTTTATATGTGGATTTTTAATTTATATGTACAAAAAGAAAAGCTACAATGGGATTTTGTCTTTGGCTAATCAAGTCTGGGTTCTTGGCCATCAGAAATTATTTTTGATTTTGTCTGAACTACATGTCAGTTTCACTGGCATGGAAAAGAATAGCATAAGACCCATGGAATCATCCTGGAATTTTTTTTTTCGGCCGCAAATGCTGAGAGTAGGTTGTGGGCTACAATTTGATAGGAAAAGCTTAGGCTGGCCGTTGTTTGGTGCAAATAATTAAATTGGAATGTATAGTCTAACTTCAAAGTATACTTGAAGATAGAAGAAAGTGATATTTCGTTTGCTTAATTTATGATTCAAAGGTTGTTGGTTATTTTATAAACCTTGTCCTATGCTAAAAGAAACTAATTCTCTCATAATTATGTCTTATTTAGCTTTGTGTTTTCTTTGTAAAATTGTAGCCACGAAAACAAGAGAAACGAGTCAAAATAGAGCACCGCACACTACCACTCATTCACCTACACCCTCTTCAGACCAACTTGGTGTTACCCAACCATCACATGGTAGCAAAATACATGAGACACAACAAACATCTATTGAGAATCAACCTTCAAGTGTCCAAGGTACCTTATTTATATTGGTTTGAAAATGTGCATTTTTGTAATTGGTTATTTATTAAACATACATGCACATTATTATTTTTATTGATTAGGTCCTACCAAAAAGAAAGATAGAGGGAAGGCTAAGGGTAAAGATGGGAATGGCACTCCGATTGTAATACATGATAGCAGGTCATGAGCACAAGTCACTAGAAGCATGATTGTCAAATAGTTAACTATTTAGACATGTGAGTGTTCTAATCTAATTTTAATTTCAT